GGTGATACGTAAGATTTGAGATGACGCCACAAGTGGGGTTTTGCACTTGATAAGTCAGGTGTGCCATGACCAACTCACGGTCGAACTCATTCCTAGTTCCAGAAAACACTCAGTTTTCTAAATCAAAAATTCACAACTTTGTATTTTATTTGGCATGCAATGGCTCTAAATAGCCATTAACAGACATATTACAACCACATAAATCATAAATGAGATAATTATTAAAAATATAATAAACTAATCATAACCAACAAACTAGGATAAACTTAAATAATAATATAATTCTAACAAACTAAATCTAAAATAGTTTAAAGATAATCATTCTAATTAATTAATTAATTAATTAATATAACTAATTCTAAAATATTTTCAACAATTCACGTGGCCACAACAAAGGTGGACTGTACCTTGCACCCCTTTTTTCTTCCACCTTCTAAGTTCCTTTTTAGTAGTTGGCTGCAATGCAATTCCTTTGGTCATTCCCCTTAGTAACACTTTTCTACCATCTTCATGAAATGAAATTCCTGGGGGTCTGGTATGTAATTGAATTGGGGCAAAGCTGTCAATCCAATCCATACCCAAGACCATATCACAACCCCCCAGCTTAAGCACTCTAAAGTTTCTTTCAAAGGTTTCATTCTGCACTTGCCATTTCAGACCACAACACATGGAATCACAAGTCATTTTATTTCCATCAGCTACTGTTACCATAAGGGTGTTGGTCTTTTCAGGTACAATTCTCATTTGAGTAAGTAGTTTAGGGTCTATGAAGCTATATGTGCTCCCACTGTCAACTAGGATAGTGATTGGTTGCTTACTAATAGTTCCCAACAACTTGATGGTGTTCATTCCTTCACCACCAATGATAGCACACAGTGTCACTTCCACTTCTACTGGTTCCAAGTCAGCCACAGCTTCTTCTTCCTCAGATTGGTCCTTACTGTCCTTCTCTTCCTGTTCATGGAGGTCAGTTCCCTCAATTATGTTGAAGGTGGGACTCTTGCACTTGTGTCCAGGGCTCTAAGGTTCAAAGCATCTGAAGCATCTGTTTTGTTCCTTGGGCTGATTTTTAAATCTATTGATTTTAGGGGTTCAGGCATTGGATTGAAGGGTATTGGAGGCTGTGGTTTTGGGTGTGTTTTGGCTAGCTTGGGGTCTAATTGGCTCAATGTATCTAGGGTTGAAGGGTCTGGGAGGTTGTTGAAATCTTTGGCCAGTGGGGGTTGATTTTTGGGTAGGAACGGTGGTAGTTCTCTGTGATTCATTCACCTTCAGTCCTTTCTCAAACTACCTAGCTAACCATATTGCATCTTCTAAACTGTTAAGCCTAGATGTTCTCATAAAACACCTTAGTTGTTGTTTCAACCTCACTACAAAACTCTCCAGGAAGTACTGATCAATCAAGTAGGGATAAATATGCAACAACAACCCTTTATACTCTTCATACTTATCAGCAAAATCCACAACATTTTCCCACTGTTTAAAGTTAGAAAATTCCTCCATTACATCAACATTGTTCTCACAAAATCTCTTGCATAGAGCTCCTGCAAACACAGCTCACTAGAAGCCCACTTTTAAGCCATTAAGGTACCCTCCAAACCATACTCCCACCTTTCCAGTCAGATTCACACATAACACATTGATTATTTCATCTCTAGGTATTCTAGCCAGCATAAAAAATCTCTCACACCTTACCACCCACAATCTATGATGATCATAGTCAAAAGGGGGAAATTCTTTCTTATACCCCATGAAGTGATCCCCTCCTTGATGGTGGTTCGAGTGCTTGGCATCCAGGTTGACCCTCCTAGGGGCCCAAGCCCTCTCTGCAACCCTGGGATCCCCTTGAAAGGCAGGCATATTTTCACCTTGGCCTTCATCTTCATCAACCACCTCTAGGATCTCAACATTGTCTTCCACAGCTGGCTCCTTTCCTGGCTTCCTTCCAGGCTCAGAAACTCCTTCACCAGGGCTAGGCTGTTGTGTGTGAGCATGGCCTTGAACTGAGGAGGGATCTATAACAGGTGGGGGTGGCCTGTTCAGCCTCAGCAACTCAATGATCTCAGCCTTCCAAGTTTCTATCTGTCCCTTAAGCTCCTGGATGGAGTCCTCCATAACCTGCAGTGGTTTGCCTGATACCTTGCTCCATTACTTGAGCCTCCAATCTGCTCATTCGATCTTTCATGGTGAGTTCCCAAGAAGGAGAGCTCTGATACCAACTATCACACACTTAGGGTTTAGCAGAAAAGGGGGAAGAAAAATCAGAGAAGAAGAGAGAGAGTTGGGAGAGAATTCAGAAGAGAGAGAAAGTGAAATTCATTCCATAATCAAAAAAAGCATAATCCAAAAAGACAAAAATACAAAGTATATAAGGACAAGTTTTGTTATTTTTGCAGGAAAATGTTGCCTCAATAGCTTCTGGAATCTACTGATACACAGCTCAGTTCATCAAGCGTGAAACACAACGTCGTCGGACCCTTCGCAAACTGCCCCCCCCCCCCCCCCCAACTGTCTAGCTTCATGCGACGTCGTTCAGGTTAGTTTCAACTGCCAACAACTTCTTCTCTTCATACGGCGTCGTTTTGCCGTTTTTGTCTGTTATTCCACTCAGCCCCTGACTTTCATCCTTCTCTGAAATCATTTCATTCCGCAAATGTGATTTCCCATTCAATACACTTGCTAAGTTCATCACAGAGACCGGCAGCGAGGCAGCACCGGCGAACCCAGGAAGAAGAAAGTTCACTCTCCTTCGCATCTCTCTCTCTCTCCCTTGTTCGGACTAGCAACGCAAAGAGACCGGCGGCGAGGCAGCACCGGCAAACCCAGGAAGAAGAAAGTGAAGAATGAGGAAGGAGGAAGGAGGACGAAGGAAGAAGAAAGTGAAGAAACAGTGAGGGTGGTTATGAAAGAGAAAAAGAAAGTGAGAAGAAAAATGAGGAAGAAAGAAGAAGAAAGATATTGCGGCCAGGAATCGATGCTAGAGTTATTGTTCATGCGAGATTTCCTAATCTGAAAACAAGTTTTGAGTGTGTCTATAATTTCCTCTAAAATGGAGAATTGTTCTCAACTTTGAAAATTAGCACATAGCATAGTAAACGCGTTTCCTGTTTTCTATTTTCAAATTTGAAAATTTTCATAAAAATTTCCTGTTAGTAAACGCTCCCTAAAATTCCCCCAAAGATAAAGTCTTTTTCTGGCAAGCATGTACCTCTTGTCTCCCCACTGCTAGCTTACTTAGGCAGAAGATAGTTGACTGCCCCAGGGAATGTTTAATCTGTTAGGATGAGTTTGAGACTATTTTCCATGCCCTTGTGAAATGTAGAGTGGCAAGAGAGTGTTAGAACAAATTAAACATATTTAAAGATCCTGATGACTATCAAACTTTTACTTATTGGGTAATTGGGAATGTGAATACCATCTCAAAGAATGATCTTTCTATTTTGGTAATGCTATGTTAGAATATTTGGATTGGTAGGAATGATAGGATTTGGAGAAACATTTCTATATCGACAATACAGATCATTGAAAGAACTTTATCATTTATTAGAGATTGAGAGGAGATAACAAAAGTTGCCTATCAAACAATGATGGTTCCTTTACAGGCAGTGACGGATCTAGCATGGGGACAGTGGGGGCAGCTGCCCCCACTCACCCCACCCCCACCCCATATATAACCCTTGTGTGTGTGTGTGTGTGTGTGTGTGCGTGTGTGTATAGTACAGGTTTTAATATAAATATAAAAATAGATAAAATTTGATAAGAGATGTTTAGATCATGTGATAAAGCATGTTATTAGTCTTAAAAATGGCCAAGGTTTGAATCCTGTCATATGGTTAAACACACGCAATTTCAAGTTTTGATATGTTTTATTTTTCACACTTATCCAACAATATTTATGGCTATACTTCTTTAAGTATTATGTTTTATATTTTGTTGTGAATATCTTTATAAAGTTTTGATATGTTTTATTTTTCACACATATCCAACAATATTTATGGATATACTTCTTTTAAGTGTTTTATTTTTTTTCTTCAAACTATCTCTTTCGTTATGTTTCATCCCCACTGGAAAAAGTTTCTGGATCCGTCCCTATTTATAGGCAGTGCCCAAATGGGGAAAACCTCGAGCAGGATGGCTGAAGTTGAGTGTAGATGCAACGATTGACTCAAACAGAGGTAAAATGGGGTTAGGGTGGATTTTACAAGATGACCTTGGCCAATTTATAACAGCCAGATGTACCCCTTGGCCCAGTGTCTTCTGACCGAATGAAGCGGAAGTAATTGTCATCCGGGAAGCACTTAGTTGGCTTAAATCTCTTAATTATGATAGAGAGTTGGTCGAGACCGATGCTTTGCTTATTGTTCAATGTCTTAACTCTATCACGGGGGATTCCTCCTTTAATTTGCTTTTGTTAGATATCAAAGATAGACTTAGTGTGTTCGATGAAGTGCAAATCTCTTTTATTAAGCAATATGTGAATCGGGCAGCCCATGTTCTTACAAAGGAGTCCGTTTCTAAGTCAGGTTGTGAGGATTAGGTTACTCATCCTCCTTAGCTTTTTTCCATTGTAATGTTTTGTTGGAAGATTTAAGTGATGAATGAAAGTGTTGTTGTTTTTTCAAAAAATAAAAAGTATAAAATAGGAAGAGAGTATTTTTCCACATAAGAAAGAGAAAGAGAAAGGTGTTAAGTTGGAAGGAGGGAGATGCAAAAAGTGTTTGTGGAGTGAAAGCGACTTGCTGGATCAAGAAAATGAGAAATGGTGTTTAGCTTTTTACCAAACGTAACAGAATTATCTTTGCAGTTTGTTTTTTATTTATTGTTTTCAATATATATTAGTGATAACGTATAAATAGATAAATATTGTGTTGATAATGTGGAGATCAGAGGAAACTTTCAATGTACAAAAAACAAAATTGTAGATGCTTAGTGGAATATTGGAAGCAATGAAGAATGGGTAATAAGTTAATAACTAATAAGTAAATTTAAAAGTAATTGTATTAGATAAGTAAAAACATAATATGAACTAAGATTATACATATAGTATTACAACTACCAAAATTCTTAGTGAAATATTGGAAGCAAATTACACGTGTTCCTACAGCAGAAATGAAAAGCCATACCCCAAATCTTTTATTTTGCACTAGGTTTCAGTCAAAACTGGAAACTAAAATTTCTACATTCACCAGATCAGAGCCCAAACACCTACAAAACTATATAGTACAGTGTCGTAATCTCTTCACTTTTATTCTCATGCCACACCACCCTTCTTCTTCAACTACTCTAATCCCAGGATTCATAATAATAATAATAATAATAATAATAATAATAATAATAATAATAACAATAATATGATTCATTATCGTGAACCTTCAAGCCCAAGCCTCGCACTCAACCAATGGCGGACCTCCTCCATCTCCCTTGGCACCGTGTAATGACCAAGCCTGCAAAATCATGTCGCATTTTTTAAAATCTGAAGGTATATTATGAGTAAAGCCTGCTTTATAACTCTAGTCGGTAAAGGATCTGACCACAAAGAGGTAAACCAGTCTATGTTGTCCATAGCTGGGCGATTCAAATAAAAAAGGCCAATACACAGCTCTTATGGTATGGCCAAGCTAATTGTCCAACCAACTTGGTTGAGTTGCTGCACCGACATGAAATGAAATATCATTCTAAAAGTAAAGAGGAAGAAAGGATACATACCCTTCATATGTTTTAAGTGAAAGGTTCCGGAATCCAGCTGAGCTCAAGACATGGGTAGACCTCTCTCCATACCTGTAGGGAACCACTTCATCTCCTGCATGCCCAGACAAGATGGAAAAGTGTGAAAATAAGGTTTGGGTGCATCATGATGAATAAAATGTATGTAGCAATATCATTAGCAAACATCCTATGCATGAAAGTAGCAGCATTTGGGACATATGTATATATATATAGATCAGATGATGGAATTTATTAAGGTTTTACTATAGGCGTGTTGTGTGAACTGTGAAGACTAGAATTACATATACTACCTGTCCCATGGCAGAGCAGAATGGGCAAGGATGCAGCGCGTCGAGTCGCCTCATGTGATCCTCCAATCTTATTGCTCACATACCTGCTTCAAGATGATCCATGTTAATGACCACCAAACTTAGAACATGATCGATCTTGTGCATATTATATATGTGCAAATATCAATCACTTAGCAACTGGTTAGAGAGGGAAGATGAAGATGGAGATGATGAGAATGTTATGAGTTGAGAAGAAAATGGGTAGCAATCGCACCTTGAACCAGGAAGCCACCCGCTAAGACCAACAACTGTCTTCAAGTTGACACGATAAGGATTGCCATTGCCATATTTTCCCTGCGCGAAGCAGGTGGCTGAGTAGAGCGAAGTGGCAGCGCCCATGCTGAAGCCTCCAACACCAAGTTTTACTGGATGGTTCAAACAAACAAAGCAATGAAGTAGAGTTAGATATTATAATTAAGACGGCCAAAACCAGGTGATATACAAGAAGCCTGGCCTGCCCAAGTTTGAAGATTCAGATTCTTACCATCTGCTGGCTCAGCTGACAGTAAGTTTGCTATGTGTGCAGCTGATGCATCTAAGCCTTCAAAATCTTCTGGACCATCATCTGATAGCTCCCCAACATCAAACCCTGAAAGATGAGACAAGACAGCCTTGAGTGACAGCCATAAAATATTTTTAAGGATTTTATTTATTCGTCCTTACAAGCAGTGCAAGGAAATCCACCAAGTATAGCCACTGGACGCGTAGGGGCCGTGGGACATATCCATTTTATCTGCACGTTGGAGAGGGAAACAGTAAACAGTAAATAGCATTGTATTGTATTGTATTGTATTATGTAACAGAGAGGCAAAAAACGAGAAGTAAAAGTTCTTACATTTGGAAGAGGAAGGCCTTCTAAGAGCTGAGACCAACTGTGAGAAAAAACAGAGGAAAAAAGTCACAAAATCTTTCTTATTTCTCCTTTTATATTTTATGGCTGTGTTTTTAATCAGTAAATAATATTTAGCTACTGCGATGGCAATGAACAAGCCTCTTTTGGTTATTAGTCTTCATCACTTCAAAACACAATATATTAGCAGTTAAAAAGAATTATCTATCTGAGTTTGGCACATTACATCTAATCTGAACTGTAGTCACCTCAGGATTTGTCTTCAATTTTACCCAATTCAAAGTGTGCATGATGTGTATCCACTTTAATAAAGACAGGAATTTTTTTTTTTTTTTCACTAAAATCTCAATAAGAATTGAGTATATTGAACATGTGGGCCCAGTCTGACGTGTAGCATAAGAAACAACACAAAGAAGATAATATTGATCATTGCATATAGAATTCACAGTGCTGCTGCTTTTGCCATCAATTTGGTTTAGAAGCATTCACATTTGAACCACTTACTCAATATACTATTAGATGAGAATTTCAACTTAAAGTAGCTAAGAAACAATACTTTTTTTTTAAACATCAACATGTAAACTTCATCAGCTACTTTTTCTTATCCTTTTTTGGAACAAAATACCAACATTATATTTTCCCTTAAAAGTATATCCCTTGCTAAAAGAGAAAAAGAAATGTAATATATGAGTTATTCATATTTTAAGAAGTAATTCATCAGAAAAAGGAATGAGCAGCAGATAACAGCAAGACAGAACATTATGTTCCGGCTTAGGTCTGCAATGATTGAAGGTTGCTAACAAACATTAATTGTAAAAGATTTAAGGCTCTTCTAAGGTTTGGAGAAGTTGACAGTTTATCTTTGAGGATCTAAGGTTCACAATGATAATTTGGGTGGTGGGCTAATTGATCAAACTAAGTAATGAGATTAGCATCTCTGTCATGGTCATTGCATTTGCATACAAGAGATTCTGGGGAAAGAACTGATAGTCAATGCTTTCCAAAGTATTAGTGTCTGACAGGAATAACTTGAGGAGTTTGTAGTATTATTTTACTTTAAATAATCTCTCAAGGAAAAGATTGGCCAGTAATAAGAAGACAGAGAGTAGTTTCAAATCTTAATGTAGCAAGTGGGTAGTTGAAAAGTGAGAATAATTTTACCTGGAACCATTGTCCCCAAGGCCATGCAGCCAAACTATGGTAGCCTGGTGTTTTCCTCTAGGCCTCACCACATATGTTCTTCCAAACTCAAAAGTCCTTCTAGCAGTTCTACTTCCTGATTATCATTATCATTATTATTATTAAACCATGCATTATTTATCGAGGGACCAGAACATAATCAAAGGTAAAGACAATAATCCATTTTCGCCTGCTGCTGCTAAAATGTGAAATGTGACAATAGTGAAAATGTAAAATAATGGCCAAAAAACTATCAGAAGCCAGGAATGGCAACAATGAAGAATCTGAAACAGAAGTTGATGACTAACCAGAACCTGCAGAAGAGTTCATATAGCTCATCCTTTCTGTCAAAAGATTAAGTGCACCCTTCAATATATCTGTGAAACACTAGCTGTGACAATGAACTGTGAAGTGATAGTGCAATGCAATGCAATGAAGACAAACGAAACCCGGAGTCGTATTTATATGTGAAGGTGAAGGGGTAGGTCGAAAACAGAATAAAGCATATGAATATGCAACACTATATATGTGTGAAACAGCTGCACATTTTTCCTAAAACCACCTAGAGACTGATGAAGAAATAAAAGGGCATCCATGGAATGGAGTGGTAAAGACAAGGAAAAAGTAGGCAATCTTTTCCCATCAGCAGGAAGAGAGAGAGAGAGAGAGAGAGAGAAGAGAATCAATGCAGAAAAATTCACACAGCACAATTCATTCATCCATCCATTCCTCCTGGTGCACCACCCAGCTTGGATGGAGGGCTCTAGATTTACAGCACAGAACAGAGAATCTATGCTTGTGAGCACTGCTGGGCAGTGGCCATATATAAAGTAGTAATAGTGACCATCACAACCAAAAACTCAAGAATATTACTCAAAAAAATAGAGGAATAACACCAATTTGGCAAAAAAGAAATATCTTTGCCTCAATCATTTGTTTATGTATTTCTGATGATTGATGGATACCCATTAACTTTAAAAAGTGGTATTCAACTGTCCAATTTATCATCATTGTAAATCTCATTTTTTTTTCTTTCCCAGCACAAGTTATCTGCATTTAAAAAAAAAATAAAAATAAATAAAAAAAGAAAAGAGTTATGAAGCAACAAAACTGGGGGTGTCTCTGTTAGGCATTTCTACATACACCACACATGCATTATGCATATACTAGTTGGGTTCACCAACCTGGAGCTCTTGGATGAGAATGACAACATTAGCAAAAGGAAATGAACTTTTTTTTTTATCTGAAAAATGCTTTGTGATTCTGTCTGGTGCTTTCTTGATTGCCTCCTATGAATTTAGTAGCTCAGGTCATTTTCTAAGGGTACAATTTTTGCTCCAAGTCTCATATTCATCATAAGTTTTTTGTTGTTTTATACTCATGACAAACTCCACCACCCCAAAGCAGAGAGTGGCACTAAAAAACTGGACCTCTCAGACCATGACAGCCAGTGTGACCTTACACCCACACTTGTCTTCACCTTCAACCCTTCCTTTGCCCTTTGCCCTTTGCCCAACTCCAAACTACCAAACTTTTCACCGCCTATTAGCTACTACATCTTCGTTTTGCTAGTAAATAATAGGATCTCCTCACCAACAATTTCTCTCAAATAGTTTAATAAAACCTAAAGCAACTCAGCTAAGTTGGTTGTACAGTTGATTCGTTAACTAAAATTTTTTACTTTCACTTTCCGTGTGAGTTATTGACCATCGAGGCTGGTTTATCTCTGGTGATTTTTGTTAGCTAGAGTCACATGACTGATTTCACCTATAAGACATTTTTAAGTAGTGGATGTAAGTTTTTCTGTAAATCAAAATAAACTGTGAAATATTCTTATTCAAAGTAATACCCTCGATATACTCATTATTATACTTTATACCTTTTTCAAATTCAAATAACATAAATATTCTTTTGAATAACTAATGAAATGTCAACTATTATGTAGTGTGATGACATCTTTATTATCATTTCAAATTGATGATTACCGTATCGAAATCTGGTGGTAAGTCCATTAATTTTTTTGGCTCAAAAAGATTAGCAAATAAAAAGAGTAAATACCCAAAATGGTCCCTCGACTATAGCTAAATTCACAAATTGGTCCTTAACTTTCAATTTCAACCAATTAAGTCCTTAACTTTGTAATTTTAACACAATTTGGTCCTCTGTCCATTTGACCATTTGTTGACTGTGATTTTTGAGGATATATATGTAATTTCATGGTCCATCATCGGTTTTTTAAGGTTTCGATTGCATTTTCAGACCGCACTGTTACATTTGAATCCACTGCCGAAAGCAATCTACCAATCCGGTCGCCTTTCTTCATCCTTCTTTTGGATTCAATGTAGTTGAGTTCGTACTAGAGCGAAGAAGACGACATGTTTCCGAACCGGTGCAACGTCATCCTGGAGGCCTCCACGTGGAAGCTGAAGGTTCTTCTGGAGATCGTCGATCACGGTCAACAAATGGTCAAATAGATGGAGGACCAAATCGTGTCAAAATTACAAAGTTAAGGACTTAATTGGTTAAAATTGAAAGTTGATGACCAATTTGTAAATTTAGCTATAGTCGAAGGATCATTTTGGGTATTTACTCAAATAAAAATTTGATAGTCAATAGTCATGACAAAATGATAATTCCAATACAAGTCATTTTTTATACTATTATCCTAGATTGTGATAACATATTCTCCCTTAAGTTTTTTTTTTTCTAAAAAAAAAAAAAAACTAAATAATGATTAAAATTTATGGAGAAGTCAACAAAAGTTGATTGATACAAATACTTCATGCTTTAATCCCTTTTTATACTTCCAATATGTTTATTTTTTCAACCAACTTTTAAAGGCTCCAAATTCCCATTTGACATATCATCATCTATAAATAACTAAATAAAAAATTAAGAATAAGAATATGTTTGGCAAACCTAGCTGAAAGTTAAAAAAGAGCTGAAAATTGAAAAGTTATAAGTTAGAAGCTGAAAACTAAAGTACTGTTAAGCTAGTTATTATGTTTAAAAGTATTTAGTAAAATTAACTTTTTGATAAGATGATAAATGTAAAAAGACAAAAAATGACATCTTCATAAAATTTAAATTAGTTTGTTTACATATTAAAATTTAACATTTTGTCTTAAAAAAAATTAACATTTTGAAATAAAACTATTAGCATAATCATGATCTAGCATTTCATAATGAAATAGTAATATTGTTGCAAATCTCCTTCTAATAATAATAATAATAATAATAATAATAATAATAATAATAATAATAATAATTGCTGTGAAAGTTGCGGATAAAGGAGAAGAGAAAATAGTTTTAATTGGGAAGAGTAAATGATGTCTTTCTTTAAAATAATAAGGACAAAGATGGAAAAAATAATTAGGAAGCTACTAGCTTATTTAAAACGCTACCTAAGGTAGCATTCCAAAATAAGCTCTTATTTTAAGCTACGAGCTTATTTTGGAAACATTACTAAACAGAGCTTATAGCTTATTAGTAGCTTAAAATATGCTATAAGTTCCTAAATAAGCGCCACTAAACAGAGCCTAAATGATTTCACCCAAAAAAAAAAAATCCACACCCTTACCGATTATTACATTAACAATCCGTTTATCAACTATTTCAATAATGAAGCTAAAAACAACACAAAAGTTAAAAAGTAGTCATATTTTCTAGTCTTTTTAAAATTTGGAAAATGATATATAGAATCCTATGGAGTAAAATTCTGGCCAAGTATCATGATTTTATTAATAAAAGAAAAAAAACTAATAAAAAATATAAATCACTTTTTTTTTTCAGATAATCAGAACACAACATATAAAAGTAGAGAAAAAATTGAGAGTATGTAAATAGTATTATCCTTAAAAATTTTAACTAAAAAGGTACGAAAATAATCCATTGATATTTTTACAAAATAAAATAAAATAAAATAAAAAACAACTGGACACCTAACAGTGCGTAATCTGAAAGGATTCCTCGGCCCATTATGCGCTCTTGCTTGTCTTATCGCATGGCCCATATGTCGAATCATGAATATGAGGACTTTAAGTTTTGGAATAAATATAATATTACGGATTTTTTAATTGCGAATATAATATTGGGGATTTTTACTTAGTTCTAACAAACAAATAGCCTATATTTACGTTTAATATTTATTATTTAACTATTTTAGAGCCCTAATATCATAACACTTGGTCACGAATTCAAACCGATCAATGCTAGTAAGATTAGAGGCAGGAACGGAGCCAAAAATTTGATTGAAGGAGTGAAGAAGTAGAACGAATTCAAAAATTTTTTTCAGTAAAAGTGAAACATTAAAACAAAATAGATAATTTTTAAAAAAATTACCTAAGATTTTTTTTTTTTTTTTATAATCATTACCTAAGAAATATAGTTGTAAATATTGTTAGATATGTGCGAAAAAATAAAACACATCAAAAAATAATTAATTTGATAAAATAATTCAAATAGAAAACACATTATAAATTACACATCTCACTATTAATATAAAAGAATGTTATATATATATATATATATATATATATATATATATATATATATATATATATATATGTGTGTGTGTGTGTGTGTGTGTGTGTGTGTGTGTGTGTGTGTGTGTGTGTGTGTGTGTGTGTGTGTGTGTGTGTGTGTGTGTGTTAAATATTAAAAAAGTGACTGTATTAAAGCCATAGGGGAAGGACTCAAAAATATATAAAACTATTTAAGTGCAAAGATTTGAACCCAAGACATTTTCTATTACTAAACACATGCTTTACCAAATAATCTAACTCCTTACTTGATAACATTTACTAGTTTTTTTTATACTAATACTAAAACCTATACTATATATACATATATACATACAAATATTATATATAGGGTGGGAGTGGGGTGAGAGGGCAGCTGCCCCCCTTTGGCTCCGTCCCTGATTAGAGGGTTATTGGTGTTCGATTATTTGGAGCGTTATATTTAGTTATTGTAAATTATTATACTTTGTTGTTGCCAAAAGGTTGAATCCCTAATCACAAATTATTTTGTGGTTTCGGGTTCAAATGTTCACAATTTACCTTTTAAAAATTCACAATTTGTATACTAAGAGCACCCAATGTTAGCATATCTGTAATTGATCTTTCAAATATTGTAGTCACATAATATTAGCATATATTAGGATTTGATGATTCTGTATTGTATTCACAAGTGTTGTTATGCCTCTCATCGAATACAACCGAACACAGAAGCTAGATCTTTGCTTACTGTGCATAATGAGACTGTTGTTGGTGAAACTCGATCCTAAATTATTGTTCCTAAACTTCACTCATGTGACCAACTCAGCTGCCGCTAGTAAATTATTATTGTTATAACTACCACGGTTACTATGGTTTACTTATGTTTGTATTATCAGTATATACATATAAGTGATATATAACCCACCTTTTCGACTTACTTACCTCACCATCACCCTATTATTATCAGTTATCACCATTTACTTCTATTTATTACCTAAAACCAACCAACCCTTGCCCCTACTTCACCCTCAAAAGGTGAAGTTTCTCGTCCTAAAAATCCCACCCCTTAGCTAGCCCGACAAGATTGTGAATGGTAAATCAACACTCACCCCTACTTCCTTACTATATGTATTTAACATTATCAAAATTATCATCATTGTATACTTTTAGGTAAAAAGTTGAAATGAAAAATAAAAAGCATTATCGAACAAAAACTATCATCTATCACCAAATTAAAGGCTCCTTATAGAAGACGAGCTAGAGTGATGGCAGTGGTTTGTAGTGGTGGCCCGCTTCAATGACGTACACTAAATATACTCTAAGCATATGAAAATGGTGTACCGTTTTTTTATTATT